TTTTTTTTATATTAGACATTTTGACTGGGGTTAGGTGGTACCTCATTGTTGTTTTTATCTGCATTTCCCTTACGATGAGGGAGGTTGAACATTTTTTCATATGCCTTTTTGGCCATTCGTATGTCATCTCTAGAGAGTGTTTTTTTCATCTCCTTCTCCCATCTTTTAATAGGGTTGATCATCTTTTTTCCAAACAGCTTTTTTAGTTCCTTGTGTATTCTGGTTATCAGTCCCTTATCTGATGCAAAATTTACAAAAATATTTTCCCATTCTGAGGGCTGTCGATTCACACTAATTACTGTGTCTTTGGCCATGCAGAAACTTCTTAGTCTGATGTAATCCCATTTGTCTATTTTGGGGACGATCGACTCTGCTTTGAGGGTCTTCTTTAAGAAGCACCAATGTCTCCCAGAGTTTCCCCAGTGTTTTCCAGGAGCAGCTTTATAGTTTGGGGTCTTAAATTTAGATCCTTGATCCACCTTGACTTGATTTTTGTCAAAGGAGAGAGGTAGGGGTTCAGATTCATCTTTCTTAAAGTGGAAGTCCAATTTTTCCAGCACCACTTGCTGAAGAGACTTTCATTTTTCCACTGGATTGACTGTCAAAAATCAGTTGACTGTATGGGCACTTATTTCTGGGGACTCTATTCTGTTCCATTGGTCTACGTGTCTGTTTCTGTGCAAGCACCATGCTGTTTTTATTACCACAGCTTTTCCTTTTCAGATATTGAGATGACTTATTTCAACCCTTTGTTGACAGCCATTGGTTATTTGTTTGCCATTGTGTTACCATAAAATGAATGCAAATGAATTTATAATATAGATAAGATAATCTACAGAAAGAGCTCTTCATTCTCATAGGATAAGTCAAATGCAAGTGTGGTGGACCATCTATTTTAGTTTGTCATGGGATTTCTATAAACCCATTTGTTTTCTACTTTCATGGGCAGGATCCCAAGGTACATCTGCTCCACAGATTACTGTCAGATAGTAGGAGAAGGGAAAATATCCCTACTGATCTATCTTTACAGCTCTGTTTCTGAAGAACTAATCCATAATTCTTATGATAAAACTCTACGATTATGTCCTTAGTAAAGTATCTATTGATGAGATAGCCTATAGAAAATGAAAACTAAATACGGTTGTTGAGAGAACACATTGTCGGCTGATTTGAAACACACATTTTTAAACAGTAAATAATGCAAACAAGTTGATTATGAACTTTTTCACCAATGCGGACACACATAGGGCTGCTGCTGGTTGCTTTTTAAGGTTCAAAGGTGAGTCTGTGGGCAGTGATTTTCAAGGCGGATAAATACAGCTGAAGAGACTGCTGTGTGACCTTTGCTTTCCACAGCAAGTACATGTGTAACCTGCTCAGGGTTCATGCGTTACATCCATATGCAGGAGGGACATTGACTCCCCATGACCCTGGCCCTGGACCTAAGGGTTTTGAGAAACTGAGCCCCTGAGGACCTGCAAAGACTCCAAGGCAAGAAGACACCCAGGCAAGAAGACTCCCAGAGCTGCCCTCTACTTTCTTGGTGAAAATGCATGTCTCTGAATGTGCTTTAAAAACGCTTTCAGTCTTCTTCAGATTATGACGGCCCTGGGTTTGGACAGTGGTATTTCAAGTAAGGGCTTTTGTTCTTTTTAGAATGATAATGTTCTCTGCAAGTGCTAATCAATGATTGACCACCTTTTATTATATTCTTAGAAATAATGTGACAAGAAGCAGTGTCACTAACTTATGACATCCCTTTTCATTACAAATCATTGAACGGTTCCCACACATTTTAAACTCCAAATAAGGAGGTAGGAAGGGGGTTGGAAAAAGAAAGACAACCCACATACAGATTTCACCTCACTAACGACTTAATTGGTATCACCCCCGGGGTGAAATGTTGTAACACCCTACAACCCTTTATGACAGGAAGTGAAAATTCCATATCCAATTGGAGCTACAGGGATCATTTAGAGAGGCAGAATGCAATTATCCAATTAGGAATTTAGCCAGAACAGAAAGGTTAATCCCCCTTAGTCCTTTCAAAAGAGCCCATGGGATCTTTAATGACGACAAGGGGTCAGGACCTGTGTTTTACAACTCAAGCCAAAAAATTATTCAGACTCCTCTCTCACTTTCTGAAAAACAGGGAGGCTCAAATTCACCACATTTCAGGAGAAATCATCTTCCCCAGTGTCGGAACTGCTCAGAATGTTCGGATTTTCCCTACTCTCTACTCTAGAGAGTAGAGTAGAACCACAATATAAAAGTGGCTTCAGCTTCAAAAGCAAGTTTAGTGTTTGGCTAACAAGGATTCTGTGGCAGGGGATGCTTCCTCGCACACAGACACAGAGTGGCACAGAGCTGGGTGCTGACTCAGAGGCTTGGAATGCGCCATTGATGCCTGGCTGGGCTCCAGCTTTGGGCTTAGAATCTGCCAACTTGGCAGGCGAGGGAATTTGCTGTGGCAATTTTTCAAAATGGGAAGAATCGGTCCAAGGAGAGATTGTTTCTACATTTTAACTACCAGGACAAGTGACAGGGTCTTCTCTAACAAACAGTCTGCCCCAAGACAGACAGAGGGGTTGTACTCAAAAGAGAACCGACGGCATATTTGCAAGAACCTCTTGTACAAGTAATATACCTTTTGGGCATTCATTCCGAAGTTCCGGCCAAAGGAAATATGAATTACAAATGTTAGTCTGCGAGGCACAGAACGCAGACTTGCCGGATGCAACAACAAATGGTACTTTGCAGGTCTCCCTATTAGACAGACAGTTATGTCACGGATATTTAGAAGTGAAGCAATTTTTTTTTGGATTCTCGCCAATACAGGATCATTAAACAGAGCCTTTTGGATTCTCAAATCTAGTATGTCTAGAGAAAAAGATAAAAGTTTTCAGCCAATGAACAAGTATAGCAGCATTGCCACCTTATTCTTAAATCTTCAGCCTTTAATTTTTTTGATGAATTCCAACTGAACCAAACATTTTGAAAAAAAAATGCAGTCTGTCTCCAAATATTGTTTGATTTTCTAAAAATATGAATTTACCCCAATGTCCTACAGAACAACTTTTTAAAACTATTTAAAGAGAAAATTGCAAAAAAATATTTAGGTTCTGCATTAAAGCAGAAATTAGAAAATTTGGTTAGCTTTTGTGAATTGGTAGGAATTAACATAATTATACCAATTGGTAGGTAATTCAGTTATGTTATAGCATTATTTTCTACACATCAGATTGAAATTCATCAAACTAGTATCAGAAAATGCATAAAATTTTGTCTTCATCAAAGCATTTAAATATTACAGTATCAAATAAAACAAATACAAATTGGAAGATGTAATTTCTCTGTATATTTACTGATTTTAGCTTTTTATTAAATTTCCAAGAAGACAAACATTTTATGTATGGGTTGAAAACATCTAAATAATACTTTATCTAGAACAAAAGAAAAATTCTGCAAATAAAGGAAGGCAAGTTTCTATTCTTTTTACAATAGTACTTATTGCAGGGTAAATTTACACTGGAGGGGCCAGCAAGTGGCATGGTGGTTAAAGGCACTGGACTCTCAGATGGCCGACCACGGTTCAAGTCTCGGACCTGGTGGCTTGCTTTCTCACTTCCTATTTCTCTCTCTGTCTCTCTCTGATCAAACCAGAAACTAATAATGATAATAATACATAAAGTTAAATAAAGTAATTCTTTAAAAAAATTTACACTGGAAATAAAATGATAAAAAATTATTAATTGAATGACATACAGTGCTAAATCCGGCAGCACATATACTAAAGTTGGAAAGACACAGTGAAGATTAACATAGTCCCTGATCAAGGGTAACGTGTGAACTCATGAAGCATTCTATATATGTACCACAGTTTAGGTCCCAGACCTGGTGGCTTGAAAATCATGCCAGAAGCATGTGAATGTGTACCCAAAACCCTGAGAGGAGAATTGAGGAGGAGAAATTGCACCATGGCCATTCTTCCTGGGGAGGATGATTTCTTATTTTTGAAACTAAAACTAAAACTAAAAAAAAATAATAATAAAATAAATAATAAGTAACCTGAGGTGCTAAGATCCTCAGATACTCACAGTTTCTTTCTTTTTCTCTTAGACTATTTAATTTTATAAGCCTTAATGATATCTGCTGAGATAAAAATCTAAACTCCAGTACCAGCTGATGGCATAGTGGTTAAGGTGGCTGGATTCCACATGGCCAACTGTGTGGTTTAAGTCCAGGACTTAGCAGTTTGAGAAACATACAGAATGTCTGTACACAAATGCCCAAAATTTCGAAAGGAGAGCAAAATGGAAAAGGGATTGTATGTGGCCATGTCCCATGGGGGTACCTTCTCGCTTTCCCTCTCTCCTTCTCTCTCTCTCTCTCTCTCTCTCTCTCTCTCTCTCTGGCAAGTGCATGTACCCTCTGGCAATTTTTAAAAAAGTTTAAACTCCACAATTTTCATGTTTTCTGCTTATGTATGAAAATCTCATAATAACAATTTTTTAAAATTATATTTTGGCATGATCTACTTTTCTTTTTCTCCTCTTTTTTTTTGTATTTTTATTTATTTTTTTACATTTTTCCATCTGTCAAATATTGCCTCCCCTTTCACCTCACATCCACTCTCTACCACCCACTCTCTACCAACAACTTTCTCCTTTACGTCTCTAGCATTTACACCCATCCTTTGCACCATCACATTTTCAAGTCTCTCAACCTCTGCCATAGCTCGCAGTACAGATCGAGTGGGGATATACAATGTGTATCTTTCAAAGTCTGATTCACTCCATTCAGCCTTAAGCCTGTATTCATTTGCTTTGAGTCAGATGATAGGATCTCAAAGTTTCTTATAACTGTGTAATATTACATAGTACATATTTGTCACAGTCAGATTTTGGACATTTAGGTTGGTTCCATGTTTCAGCAACTGAGAATAATGCTGCAATAAATATGGATGTGCAAGTGTCTTTCTGATTGAGTATTTTCCTACCCTTCAGGTAAATTCCAAGAAGTGGAATTACTGAGTCCTATCAAAGTTCTATTTGTAAGTTTTTGAGAAACATTCATATTGTTTTCCACAGAGGTTGAACTAATTTTCATTCCCAGCAACAGAGTAAGAGGGCTCCCTTTTCACCATAGCCTTGTCAGCACTTGTTGTTCGTCAATTTTATGATCCTAGCCATTACACCTGGAGTTAAGTGATATCTCATTGTGGTTTTAATTTGCATTTCCCTATGACACCATTTTTCATATGCCTTTTTGCCATCTGTAAGTCTTCCGTGAAGAGTTGTCTTCTATTCAATTCATTGTCCCACTTTTTAAAATAGGATTATTCATTTTTTAAAAAATTATCAGTGAGTTTCTTGAGTTCCCTACATATTCTTGATATCAATCCCTTGTGTAAGGAGTAATTTGCAATTTTTTTTCTCCCTTCTGAGGGTTGTCTTGTCACTCTAATTAAATTTTTTTTTCTGTGAGAAAGATTTTTAGCTTGATGTAATACCACTTGATTGTTATGAGGACTCTTGCCTGTGCTTTAGGAGTCTCATTTAAGAAATAGTCATGGAGTCAGTAGGTAGCATGGTGGATGGGGTACTGGACTCCCACATGGCTGACCACTTTTTGAGTACAGGACCTGTTGGCTTGGTTTCTCCGTTTCTCTTTTTCACTATCTCTCTCTGATGAGCACATGTGTCCTGCAGCAAATTAAAAAATAATAATAACAAATAAAATTAATAAATAATTCTTAAAAAGCTTTAATATCTTCAAAAGTTTCCCTCATGTTTTCTACAGGTACTTTTGTAGTTTGAGGCTTTTTATTTAATTCTTTGATTGATTTTGAGTTGATTCTTGTTAATGGTTAGAGAAAGGTGTCCACTTTCATTTTTCTGTTGGTGGATATTCAGTTCTTCCAGCACCATTCCCTGAAAAGACTTTATCCACTGCATTGTCTTGTACCTTTTGTCAAAGATCAGATGGTTGTATGATGTAGGTTTTATTTCTGGATTCCTTAATCTGTTCCATTGACCTATGTATCTATATTTGTGCCTATACCATGCTCTTTTGATTGTCATTGCTTTGTGATGCATTTTAAAGGCTGATAGTGAAATGTCTCCTATTTTACTTTTTATTTTGGCCAGTATTGCCTTGGTAATACAGGGTCTTTTATGATTCCAGACAAGTTTTCTAATTGTTTTTTCTACTTCTGCGAAGAATGATTCATGTAATTGAATCAGAATCTCATTGAACATGTTAATTAGGTTAGGAATGACAATTTTATTATATTGATCCTTCTGATTCAAGAGCTTAGGATGTCCTTCCAGTTTTTGTATGACACTCAATTTTTCTTTTCATTTTTGTAGAGATTTTTTTTCTTATGGCACATGCACTCACTGTCTTGTTCCAGGTTTTAATGGAGAGACTTTTAGCTTTTTCCCATTCCATATGATATATGCAATTGGTTTTTTTTTTTTTTTTTTTTGGAGAAGTTTTTAGCTATAGGGCACGTGCGCTCCCAGACAGACAGAGAGAGACAGAGAGACAGAAAGCGAGAAATCACCCTCCCCCCACGAAGGAATGGCCATGTCGACAATTCCTTCTCCTCCATTCTCCTCTCAGGATCTTGGGCAGTCACGCACACACACCCGACGTGAGTTTAAGTCACCACGTCCGGGATTCGAACTGCGGTCAACTACATGGGAGTCCAGCGACATAGCCATTGCACTAACTGCTGGTCCTGCAAGTGGTCTATTTTATATGGCCTTTATTATGTTGAGGAATATCCCTTCTAGCCCTGTTTTTACTGCGAGTCTTGGTTGTGAAAGGCTGTTGTATTTTTTTTTTTTTTTTTGGAGAGATTTTCGCTATAGGGCATGTGCACTTGCCAAACAGACAGAGAGAGACATAGAGACAGAAAGCGAGAAATCATCCCCCACGGGGGATGGTCACGCCGCAATCCCTTCTCCATTCTCCTCTCGGCATCTTAGGCACACATGCACAAGCGCCCGGTGTGAGTTTTAAGCCACCAGGTCCGGGACGCGAACCGTGGTCGACTACGTGGAAGTCCAGCGACATAGCCATTACGTTAACTGCTGGTTCCCAAGGGCTGTTGTATTTTATCAAATGCTCTTTCTGCATCTATAGATATGATTTTTATCTTTCTTTCTGTTAATGTGGTCTATGTTAGAAGATCTGCCTTTCTGGTGTTGATGGCATTCTACCCTTCACCCATCTAAGAGCAAAGGCAAAGCAGGGTCACCTGGCCCAGTTAGCCAACAAACCTTGATGCTGAGCCTAGAGTGTGGGAGGAGTGGCTGTCTTGGACTTCAGAACCAGAAGGAAGAGCTGCTTTTGTTGTGCTGACACCACTCTAACTTAATCTATACAGGAGTAGAGACAAAGCAGGATCACCTGGCCCCAGTTCACTCCCAAAGCCTTCAGCTAAACCTAGGGTCTGGGAGGAGTGCCAACCTGCGCATGGTACATGATTTTATATACCACCTTACATTCTAGCTTCTCTGTTCAGCCTTTAGCTATATAGGGACCAGAAAGTTTTGACTACATAGGTGCTAAAACATCTGTAAATAGTGAGTTCTTGCAGTTCTCTCCTCACACTCACCCCAACAAAAAAGCACAGAAATTCTTCTGTATAAATCTGAGAGAAGTGAATTCATAGCTAAAAGCAGAGCCCTAAAAATATTTTTAAAAACCAGGAAATACCTCCCCCGAAAGGACCACAATAACTCCACATCAATAATGAACAAAATAAAGGAAATTACAGAAATGTCTGAAAAAGAATTCACAATATTTATCATCATTAAACTCAATGAAAAGGAACAGAAAACAGCCAATCTCAGGGGGTGAAAAAGTCATTCCATGACTTGAAGGAGGAACTCCATAAACAGACAGATATCCTGAAAAAGAATAAAACAGAACTTCTGGACTTAAAGCTTATAATGTAGGAAATTAAAACCTCCCTTGAAAATATTAAATTCAGATTTGACCATACAGAAGGAAGAATCTCTGACTTAGAAGGCAAAATTTCTGACTTAGTCCAAGTAGCGAAGCAGAATGTAAACATAACAACTAAAAATAAAGACAATATATGGGAAATTCTAGACACTATTAAGTAGCCAAATATTTGCATTATGGGTATTCAAGAAGGTAAAGATATAGGTAAGGTCTTAGAAAATCTTGGGGCCAGCAGATGGCATAATGGCTATGTTGCTGGATTGCCACATAGTAGACTGCAGTTCAAGTCTTCGACCCAGTGACTTCAAACTCACAATGGGCACATGTGCATGCATGCCCAATATGCTGAGAGGAGAATGGAGGAGAAGGGATTGCAGCATGTCATTCTTCTTGGGGAGTGATTTCTCACTTTCTGTCTATATCTTTCTGTCTTCCGATGCATGCACATGGCCTATAGCAAAAAAAAAAAAAAGTCTCAAAAAAGAAAGAAAATCTCTTTCATGATATATGAGTTGAAAACTTCTCAAACGTAGACATACAGAAATCCAAATCCAGGAAATACAAACAAACAAACAATAAAAACACCACACAAGACTTAACAAAAGAAGATCCTCTCTAAGGTAAATGATAGCCAAACTGATAATAATTAAAGACAAAGAAACTATTCTAAAAATGACACAAGAGAAATGTAAGATTTCTTATAATGGTTATCCCATTCGACTAACAGGGAATTAAAACAATGCAGGCAAGAAAAAAATGGGAACATATATTTAAATCTCTTAAAGAAAAACAATTTCAGTCAAAAATATTATATTCAGCAAGATTATCCTTCAAATAGGAAGTAGAAATAAATGAAGTCCCAGATAAACAAAAGCAAAAAAAAAAATCTCTGA